GATGAATAATTAATGAATGACCATTTATATATATTTCTTCATAGGCCTTATGTGCATGTCATATAGGGCCTTGATATACTTTACACTAGTAACTAAAATGAGCATATGGATAAATTTAATAATTTAATACTGCAAATTTCCAAAGCATTATGTACGAGACAAAAAAGTTTAATGTTTTGACGAAAGAATTAAAGAGAATTTATCGAAAATGAGGGTGAAGCACTTTTTTCCAAACGGCTCAAGACACATCGCATACTGAAAATGGTAGATTACATAAAAAAAAAAAAATAATAATAATAACAAAAACCACAAAAATGAATTACTTAAATATTTTCATTTCATTCATAGTTGAATCTCACATTTTTAGTCAATTTTCTAAAAATCACTAGACGCTCGATAGACAGTAGACTGGAGCCTAGAACCTAGGCGGAGTCAGGAAAATGTTAATAAATTTATTACATGCTTTATAAGATATGTTATTTGAAATATTTTAATTAATATGATCAAATACAAGGATAATGCAAAATCTAATGTATTTATAATTATTGTATTAAATGAAATATAATTATTAATATATTTATAATATAACAAATATAAACTTTTTGAGTAAAACTAAAACTATTTATATTTTTTCAATGTAAAATTAAAATATTTGAAGAACTATTATATGGACGCTTAAAAAAAACACCAACCAAGCCCGCCTAGCCGCCTACGCTTGAGTAGCTTCTCAACCAAATGCCTAGAACGACCGTTTAGGCACAAGTCGTGGCGCCTAGGTGCCACTTAGGCCGACTTTTAGTGCAAAGATTTTATGAAAACTTCTAATGATACAAGGATGAAACAATCATTACAATATATACATGTTATAAAGCTGGAATATAACTTCAGACATTTATTGTATAACTAGTACAACCCCGTGTGCTTGTTAATTTCTTTCTTAAAATCTAAAATTAATGAGAAAAAATAGTTGAAAATTTAAATACCTTTTATAAAAATATATATATTATTATATATTTAGTATGACACTTTTTATTTGTGCGACTTACTTGTATTATATTATAATAATTTTTTTTAACTTACAACATATAACTACATTAAACATAATATATCAAGTGAGAAATAATTTTATTTTTCTAATGAATTTTAATAAATATAATTATCTTTTATAATTATAAATATAAATATAATTTATTTATTTCAATATATACAATATGAATATCAAATCGAAGATCATCAAAAGATGATTAATTTGATATATTATATATGTAAAACCGATAAGAAATACAAAAGTTATCAACTTTTAAAATACATTTACAATTCAATAGCTAATTGAAGGAAACAAATCAAAAGTCGAGGATATATTAGTCACTTAGTGCATCACTATGTAAAATTACAAGGAATTAAAGGATTATATTAGTATAAGTGATATTAAAATATCTAAATTAACTAAATAATATTTATGTAATGTTCGAACCTAGATTATTAATTATTAATATATCAATATTATTTGTCCAAACCTAATTACGAAGCATGATTCTTCGCC